ATGAGGACGATGGTGAGGGCGGAGTCAGGTCAGTGTGGATAAACAAGGTGGTCGATAATCAAGGAAATCCAAAATATCATGGAACTAAATGAATCATGGAATTCGTTCACAAGCATCTCGAACAAAGAGAGGCACTCGCAACGTGCTTTCGTCTTGACACACACCTTTAATTAACTTCTAGAGTGCATTTTCTCAACTGACTACCTGACGCCACCCCTGGTCCCCCTCCTCCCCCCTTTTTCCCCTTTCACCCTTCCGCCCCTTCCCCCTTCCTTCCCCCTTCCGCCCCTTCCCTTTCCCCTTCCCCCTTCCCCTTTCCCCTTTCCCCCTTCCCCCTCCCCCCCCTTCTTTCCACCTCCAGGGTCAGAGCCAAGACTCCCGGATTCTTACCTCAGGGTCCAGTTCCTCGTCAGGGTCCTCCTCGGAGTCGGCCTCGGAGCTCGAGTGCGACAGGTAGACCTCGCCGGACCCCACTTTCGTGAAGACGTGGACGAAGGCGAACTGAGGAAGCGTGGGGGGGGGGGGGGTGAAAGAGGCCGGTCGGTACCAAGAGGTTAATGTAAGAAGGGGTACTTTCATTATGATAAAGATAATAATAATAATAACGATAATGATGATAATAATAGTGATAATAATAATAATAATGATGATAATAATAATAATAATAATAATAATAATAATGATAATAATGATGATGAAGATAATGATAATAATAACAATAAGGATAATGATAATGATGACGATAACGATGATGATGATGATGATAATGATAATAATAATAATGATGGTAATGATAATAAAAAATAACAGTAATATTCATAATAATAGCAATAATGATATTACTATACACCGCTATAGAACATTTTGAGCACCTAACTTGCTTAATTAAAGACCAACCCGCACAAACACGTTCGTTCCAACGAAAGATAATCACCTCTGTCGTTATCAGAAAATACTCCATACACAAAAGAAGCCCAATTCATGACGAGAAGAAGCCGTTTCGAAACCGTTCCGAATCTTAGATCCGAACCTAAGATCGAACGAGACTCCGAAACTGCTTCATCATCTTCCAATAAGCGTATTTTTTCGTATAGTATTTTCTCTCCCATTCACTCAAAAAGGCAGATCCCCTTTTTATGCTTTACCTCTATTATTGTGGCGAAGATAAACCCGTAGGAGATCCACACAAAGAGGTCAAGGGCTGTTATATAAGAGACCTTGGGGAGGTCAGTCCGCGCCTCGAGTCCCAGGAAGGTCATCGTCAGCACGGTCGTGATACCTGAGGGAGAAGGATCAAGTTACAACAGGAACAACGAAGGGAAGAACAGGAAAACATACGAATGATTACACGGAGGATTGGTTACAGGCCAAAAGAACAACGAAGGGAAGAACAAGGAAACACACGAATAATTGCACGGGAGAATGGTTACAGGCCAAAAGAACAACGAAGGGAAGAATGGACACGGCATAGTCGTGTGTTTTTCTTGTCTTCCTTCGTTGTTCCTGTTGCAATTTGTTCGACAGGAATTCCACACATGATTGTATTTCTATGATTATCTATATATATTAGCTATTATATATCTTATATGATCACATTGCTATGATTATCTATATATATTATCTATCATATGTCTATTATATATTATCCGTTACAATTTGTTCGACATGAATTCCACACATGATTATATTACTATGATCATCTATTATATATCATATATATATATATATATATATATATATATATATATATATATATATATATATATATATATTATCTATGATTATCTGCTGGAAGGTGAGAGGAAGATGCCCTAGAATGTTTATGATCATCTATGTACATACATGGAGTGAGAGGAGGGATGGAATTCTGTAGATGTATTACAATTACTGTATCTATATTACATCTACTACTGAGAGGTGGGGTCTTAATTCTCTAGATGCCCTAGAATTAATCTGATTATGTGTATACATCTGAGATATGAGAGGAAAATTCTGTAGGTGCCTTAAAATTAGAATTAGAAAATTCTGTGATGATGAAAATTCTGAATTACCCTTAGAATTACTCTGATTATCTAGCTACATCTACTAAGAGACGAGAGAAAAATTCTGTATATATAGTCACCCTTAGAATGTCTGATAGGATGTTTGGCTCCTATTGTGGACGTAGTATAAATTCTTTTACTAATCTTTACATCTATTGAGTGTAGAAGGAGACATATATATTCTCTAAATAGCCCTTACTGATGCGTTATATAGATCACTTGTCTGATCAGGCACTATATACCTGCATATAGGGATATTAGCAGATAACAGAAATCCCAGAATGCAAAATGGAATAAAGTTACAAACACCCTCCTTTAATTCATAAATTCTCTTCAATTCATTCACAAACACCCTCTCTCAATTCATTCACAAAAACCTCCCCTCTGTTTATTCATAAACACCCTCCTTTTATTCATTCACAAACACCCTCCTTTAATTCGTAAATTCTCAATAAAGTTACAAAGTGTGATCTGTTGTGTCATTTTATCCGGACTAAATTCGGAAAGTCTAGATGACACTTCAACTCGCATTCTCTTTATCCTTTCTAAAAATCTTGCTTTTCTGGCAGTTTCTTATGATCTTTATCTCTTCGCATGTTGTTCAGAAAAAATATACAAACAGAATTCGTAAATATATTCTAGTCGTGATCGTGTGTAGGAAGACAGCTCTTACACTATCATGACTTTCATAAATTCAACTTGGTATACTCATGAATACACCCAGTTCATTCTCAAATACACTGGGTCTATTTTTAGATACAATTAGTTCATTTATAAATTCTGCTCATCAGTCTATTCATGAGTTCTACTCAGATTATTCATAAATACACATTTAATTCATAAATTTTACTAATTTTATTTACACACAACTATAGTCTATTCATAAATTCTCCTCAATTCCTTCCCAAATACCTCTATTTATTCACAAATACCTCGTTTCAATTAATAAATCTTCAATTAATTCATTCCCAAACACCCCCCCTTTATTCACTCACAAACACTCTCCCTCAATTCATAAATTCTCCTCAATTTATTCACAAGCACCTTCCCTCTATTCCTTCATAAACACCCTCCCTCAATTCATTAATTCCCCTCAGTTCATTCACAAACACCGTCCCTCTATTTATTCACAAACAGCCTCCCTCAATCCATTCACAAAAACCTCCCCTCAATTCATTCACAACCCCCCTCCCCCGATTCACACGATCCCCGCCGAAGCCCTCCTCACCCACGCCTCCCAACGACCACACGAAAATAGATATCGACAAGCTCCTCCTCGAGACTGACCGAGAGATATGCGGTCCGAGGTGGCTTCTCTGTTGAGCCAGAAGGACACCCACGACAGGACGACCAGCAGCATACAAGGGCCGTACACCTGGATCAGGAAGTTCCCCATGTGGCGCTGCAGGTAGAAGCTGGCCAGGAGGGTGGAGAATTCTCCTGTGGGGGCGGGAGTGGGGTCTTTTTGAGAACGTATGGGGTAATGTGTATATATGTATGTGTGTATATACATATATATATACTATGTATCTATCTATTTATCTATATATGTGCATGTGTGTGTGTATGGTATGTGTTGGTTGTGTGTTTGTGTGTATGTGGATGTGTGTGTGTGGATATGTGTGTTTGTGTGTGTGTGTGTGTGTGTTATATGTGTGTGTGTGTGTTCGTGAATTAATTCATTCAATTGTTTATTTTTTTGAGCATCAAAATGTTTTAATCGCTCAAGAATCAGAGAATTCAAATCTAGTTATATAAGGTTCCTAACCCCATTCTCTATTTTCAGATTACAATCTCTTCTTGACATAGCAATATAATATCCTTAAATCGATTAACACCCCATCAAACCCTGCTTATAAGGACCCTTCCTTGAACTCACCATACCACCTACACATCACCACAATCCCAGCAATAAACAGAAGCCTCACCATCACTATCCCTTTACAATACACGAACACCATCCCACTTCACCATCACACACTATAATCCTATACTTACCTGCTCGTCGTGTGGTGTTTTCATCACCTGAGGGAGCGGCTATGAGGTCAAACTGGGAGAGCATGAGGTCGGGAGCAATGACCACCTGTCGGTCTTTGTTCCACCTGTACACCACGTCGCGGGTCGTGTAAGAGACTGAAAGGGACCGAAGTTATTAATCATCAAGTCATTATGAACTTGAAGGATGATTGGTATTGTGTGTGGGTTTCGTAAGGCAAACATAGCCCTATAAAATTATAGGCCTTTAAGCTATCTACACCTCATATTTTGTAACTTTGTATTTTTATAAAAATATACATAAACATGTGTTTAATGCTAATGTAAATGATAACAATGATAATAATACTGATGATAATGATAATAATAGCAATAACAATAATAATGATAAACATGAAAACAATAGTAATTAAAATTATACTAACAATAATGATACCAATAACAATGATAATGATAATGATCATAATAATAATGATAATGATGATAACAGCAACAATAAAAGCAATATAATAATGCAGATAATAATAATGGTAATTAAAACAATACAACGTTCTATGCTAGCCATTGAAGGACTCACAAGAGCCAAGCTTCAGAGGGCAGTGCTGAGTGTCCATCGGGAAGTCGCGGAGGTTCATGGGGCAGTTGGCGTTAATGGTCAGCCTGGAAACGAGAACAAACAGATCAGGACACGGGAAATGAGAGAGGGAGAGGGGGAAGAGGAGAAGGGAGGGAGGGAGGGAGGAGGGGAGAGGGGGGAGAGGGGAGGGAGGGAGGGAGAGGAGGGAGAGGGAGAGGGGAGGAGGGAGGAGAGAGAGAGAGAGAGAGAGAGAGAGAGAGAGAGAGAGAGAGAGAGAGAGAGAGAGAGATGAGAGAGAGAGAGAGAGAGAGAGAGAGAGAGAGAGAGAGAGAGAGAGAGAGAGAGAGAGAGAGGGAGGGAGAGAAAGAGAGAGAGAGGACGAAAGA